TAGGTTAGGTTAGGTTAGAAAGTGCGTCCCCACTGAACTGGCGTCCTCTTAACCCATAAGTACCCAAATATCGAATATTTACTGGAATATCACAAATGCTGAATATTTACTGACTTGTACTCCTAACTAATGCGGTAACAAACACCGGCCGAAAATGCCCGAAGGCGGCCTGAAGGCTTATGAAACCTCGGTGGGCCGGGATTAGGTCAAGTGACCTACGAGCGTCCGGCCATTGGCCGCGCGACGGGCCCGCTGCACCTGAACGGCGGGGGGTGGCCGCGTGGCGCGGCGCGCTCAATCTGTGTGGCCGATGGGGGCCGCCCGGAGGGCCCGTCATGCGCAGTGAGCTCCTCGGCCTAGCATGGCTCAAGTATGAGTTCCGAAGTGTTTCTACAGAGCGACCTGGCGGGCCGGTGAGGAGAGAAGTGGATCGGCGCCTGCTGGGACTGGGGTTCGATCCCCGGCTGAGGTAAGAGGTGTAATAAATAATAGATATTTGTATTTACAGGCAACAGATGGCGACTCCTGAAGGCTGCAGGCGGGAGACTCGGGCCGCCGGCCGCGTGCCAGGGGGAGACGCGCGCTGGGGGCTAAGGAAGGGGGAGTTGACGATTTTTTTTCAACACTGAGATGGGGAAAACCGAAAAAAAAAATTTCGGCCACGTGACGCCGTCCCTTTTGGGCTCGGAGTCACGTGACCGGATGTGACGTAGGCGCATCTTTGGAGGGCTATATCTCGCTTAGGGTCGCCCGTACGGGCATGGTCCTTTTGACTTTTCTGCTCGCACAGGGGGGCTCTATAATTTGGGGGGGACGAAATTTTGCTACATTTGTCCTAGAATCTTGCCGTGAAGGACACTGTTGGGACCTTAACAGAGCTGTAGAGCATGCCCATAGGAGCAAAAAAGTTAAAGGAACCATACTTCTAAATGTGACTCTTTGTGAGCCTTCTGAAATTAGTCTACTTCCAGATACTACAGGGAGTCGTGCTGCATCCTTTGTGAGATATTCACCTCCTAATGTGGAACCTCAATGGCAGCATTTCTGGTCACATTTAGAGGTATGGTTCCTTTAGCTTTTTTACTCCTATGAGAATGCTGTACAGCCCTGTTAAGGTCCCAAAAGTGTCATTCACATCTAAATTGTACTGTGACAACATTATGATTTGATAGAATTTTAACCTAATTACAATTTCAATGACAAGTCAACTTGAGAATAAATAATAACACAGAATACAAATTAATTTGTTGCAAATTTAAACCAAAATTTAAATGAACAATGAATATGAATGATTTTTATTTAAATTATAATAAATAAAAAATTATATATATATAAAAACAACTTAAAAACAACTTTGACCTTTCTGACTATTTGTGATTTTTATGTATATACATCAGTGGCATGCCATCATTGGAAGCGGTGTAAGTGCCGCTTCCCTTGTATTTTCTAAAAAATAAATACATATTAATTGTAATTATATGAAAGTAATCGCACAATATTTTATTATAACCGCATTATGTATCTTATTACAAATTTCTATACTACATGTGAAAAAAAAAATTGCTATTGTACTGTATATTCAAATATTAGTGGTGGAGTGGAAACACTGTATTGTCAGCTTCCAAACAGCCAGATTCGCGCATGCGCTTTTCAGAGCACCAACTTCACCCAGTTTAGCTGGTGGGAGCCTAGGACCTTGGGTGGATGCTACACATATAACGCTTCCAATTCTATCCAGGACCAGTTCTAGGCTGTTAGCCGCCTGCCTGCTAGATATTTGGCTGCTCTCGCCTGATTATATGAATCGTGAGTAGATTTATAACTTAACCCAACCGATAGGAATTTACTGGTATGTTTTTATGATAGTTCTGTATAGTTGACAAAAGTTAAAAAAAATCCATTAAAATATTTGATATTTTTATTCCGCTCTCTCATCTTATATTAATGGATTTCAATGTTAAACCAGTGATATTACAATTTCGTATGCCTCATCTATAAGGGAATGTAGAAAAAACATGTACAATTCTTGTACAATGTTAAAAAATTAACCATTACTTTGGTAGCATCATTTACAACTAAATTTAATGAATGAGAGAGATGCAAGAGGCACAGAAAAAGCTCTAGAATTTATTTTCCTTAAATTTATGATTTATGTATCCATTATCATAAAAATTTTCTTTCCACTTTTTTCCCAAGACTACAAATATTTGAGTACAAAGTAACAGGTTTTGACTTATTCTACTTAAGAAGTACTTACATAATTAAGCGATTAAGGAATTGTGGACATAAATAAAACCCTGCTGAAAGAGCCAGAATTTTACTTAAACAAAAGCTTAACCGAGTACAATAGGAACTGATTTCTTCGTAATATTAGATGTAATAAAGACAGAAATTTTTCCAGTTCAATGAAAGTGACTAAAAGTTGTAAATTTTGGAAATTTCTGTTGACATCTGGTCCTAAAACGAATTAGTTAGAAAACAAATGACTATTAAATTTAACAAATTTAGATTTTTACAGCTATGGTGAGAAACATTTAAAATATACAACAACCCTCTCGCATCCTTTGAGGTATACTAGTGATGCGACAAAAGAGGCATTTGACATTAACTGGTATCGGCACCCTCCAGATTTGGCATGCATTGCACACCTACCAAGACTGTCTCTGATTCTATCCATGAGCCACTGGTAGGGAGCAATTTTAACTAAGTGGATTGTTTTAATATTTAAAAAGTAAAGAATATTTTGTTATTTTTATGTATGTTTCTTCACAAAACTATATTTAATTATAATTTTCTTTAAAAGTATATTCATACAATTGAATATTTTGTACCANTAAGAATCAAAAGTAATACTATAGTCTAGTTGAAACTAATGAATTGATAAACGAGAAATCTCGTCTAAAGCTAAAAAGAGTGAGGACCCACAAGACATTTGGGACATGAAAGACCATGACTATATCTTGAAAATTTGCCGGGGGGGAAAAAGATAAACGTACTACTTTTGAGTAACCTTCACTCGCAAGAGGGCATTAAAACAGACAATAAAAAGATATCAGACTCGGCAATCTTTTGAAAGACAATGTACTAAGTAGACACTCGATCAAGTGTTCAGAAAGTACAGTGTAAAAACACGAAGTCGTTATTGGGCTACGCAGATTTGACGCTGCTCTCATAAACACAGGGAAGCTCATCTTCAACTGAATGGTAACAGACAACAACATTTTTCGCCTGAACTTTATCTTGCAGATGGAAGCAGAACCAAGTTGAGAAAAGAAAAGAAAACCTGATAAAACATCGATAGTCTGATAAAACATCGTTTACTTTTGTAAACGGGGACATCTCTTTACTTTCAGAAAAGAGGCACCCTCGTCAACAGTCGCAGTGGGCACACGTGCCAAAAGTAAAAGAACCTAAAGATTCATGTTTAGGATGAGAAAAGTTTTTTGAGGAATTTTTATGAAAATGTCAAAATGCGTGTTTTGCAAGGATTGTGTATAAATAAGCTTCGAAAAAACCTTTTACTTTCTTTTATTTTTATGTGTTTATTTTGATTTTTAATAATTTTTTAATTCTATTACATATGGATGCGTAGGAATAACGAAGAATGTTTCAGAAAAATGTTTTTGCTTCCTGGGTAATAAAACTTTATATAACTTTATATTAAACTTTATATCATATCTATTTTTTCATTCAGTACATTTGGCGATGACACATTTTTTCGTGAACTTATCTGTTATTAATAATACTGTATTATCAACAAATACAACAAAATTAAATTTTATATAAAATACATAATATCCATGAGCTAATGATTTCACTTTGGTAATTGGAATCTATTATTAATTAAAAGAGAGAATTTAACATAAAGTAAGAAATGTTCTAATAATGTTTGACACTATTTACTGATTAATCATAACTATCCATCACTGTCTGAACAGATATTTTTAAATTCAATTGCAACCAGATCCAATATGGCGACATTGCGGGACATGCGAAAATCAAGAAATCATTTCTTAACAAGTAATACCAAAATTCACTTATGACATTTTTGGCGCTTTAAATAAAAACATATAAAAAACTGTCCTCTGCATAAGCACATTCGTTGCAGCCACATTCTGGGTGGAAACATGGCCATAGTTCTTAATGACATTCTTACCTGGTATGATAGCTATCAGGTTACAGGAACGCGGCATGTCATAGGAATAGCTGCAACTGCACTTCGCTATTGCGAAAATTTACAACTGGAACTATTATTGACTCCACAAGCTCTCGAGAGAAAAATCACACGATCCTAAAAAGCTGGACGTCTAAGATTGCAGGCACAAACTTATTATTTTGCCTTCAGATTTTACATTTTTAGAATGGGATCACATTGAATAGTATTCCCTACGAGGCTATGTGAGCCATACACAAGCCAAATCGATTAACTCCACATTTTGAATATTTTTTTTACAATTTTAGTGTCAAAGCACTTGACATACTCCTAACATTTTACATTCGTAATAAGTTTTCCAAATAATAAGGATCAATACCACTTAACAACAAAATTTTATTGGCCATCGAAAAAGATATTATTTATTTCAGAAGATAATCTAATTAGTTAAGTACTGTAACGTAAGTCCGCCAGCACACACTGCAGCATTGCAATCGCAGTGGGCGCTGACCAGTGCTTTGTAGATAACGGTAATTTAATGTTATCTCATCACAGAAAGTACGTAAACGAAATTAGTTACTTACAGTTCAACTTGTGCATTATTGAACGATTGTGTTTAGAAAAAAGTTATATCAAGATAGATGAAACTAAAAATAATTTTTTCATTCCTCCTATTAAACATGATTCTTATAAAACTTTAAGAATAAATCGACATGATGGGACCTTAAATTCAAAAATAATTTTAAATTTCATTTTTAAACTTTCTAGTGCATATGAATTGGAGTGGTCTGAAAAAATTGGATCAAAAGGAAATTTATTTTATGTTGAAGCAATTCAGAATAATAAAAAAACTACTCTAGATGCTGGGGCATCAGCTGATTCTGAAAATGCAAATTCTATAGAAACTCATCATCATTTAAAACCTAGACCAGTTAATAAACTGAAAAAATGGGTAAAAAAGCAAAAATATAAATCTGAAGAACAAACTCATAAAAATCATTTTCAAAGACCAGTTTCAATGCCAAAAGTTACATTTAGAGGATCTCCAAATGGTGAAACAAAAGAAGTATTACTAGATGTCGATCCTAGAAGACATAATTATGGTCGAAGAGCTACTTTATGTGAAGTATTGTTTGGAATAATCCCAGGACACTTCCATCAACTTGATAATAGAAATAGTTCTGCCATAGAAGATGATAGAATAATGGTTCAAGGTTTTACGCCTGATGGAGAGGCCATTAAAAATGGAAAAATAAAAATAGGTAAGATACTCCATGTATTCAATAAAGGATATTTAAGCTTAAAACAAAAGCTATAACATAAATAATTAAAAATACAGGTAGCCCTTGGTTTACACCAGCTCAATTTATGCTGATTCACAATAACACTGCTGCACAATTCACCATTTTACGGTGTAATTCTTTGATTTTCCCTATGCTAGAGTGATATTCATTTTAGTGTTGACGTATTTACCAAGCCGTGACATTGTACATTCATTAAAACAAAGATTTTTATTGAATATATTTATTTTTTCTGTTTAATATTATTGGGTATGTATATATTTGCATTAAATTAATATTAAAATACTAAATGTTTAGGTACCCAGGAGTCAAATTATTAAACTTAATAATCCAATAAATGGCGTCCGAATCCATAGCGCCAATGAATGTATCCCATATCAGTTTGTTAAGGAAAACATCTTACAATGCAGTAGCACTTCCAGCAATCACAAACTATCGTTAGTGAGACAAATCTACTTCTTGTTGGCCAGATGATACTTTTTTATTAGCCAGACGATATCTACTTCTTGTCAGTCAGACGATATCTATCTCTCCTTAGCCACCTTAAATTTTCTCGCTCAAACTGACCTTATATATGTGCTATGGCAACCGGTGGTCGACCAATAAGTGTCTCCACTTGTCTGTAGCTTTACATCAGGTTAACATATTCTTTCAACTATGGAAAGTTTGACGGATGAACTTTGTGAGTTAGACAATGATTGGGAGTGAAGTGCAATGTAAAAAGGAGCATCATTGCATCCATTCGACCGTATTCCGAAATTCTTAATGAAAGAAAACAAAAATGTAAACAATTAAAGATGGATACCTTTTTCCAAAAAATGTAAGAGATCTGAAACTAAAATGTTTTAAAAAAAACATTTCACTTTATTTTATGATAAAATACATTTTAAAAATTAAATTTATATGTATTTTGTATTATATTGTATTAATAAACAAAATTATTTGCTTATTTTTTACTTATATAGAAACTAACCCTATACTTAACTGTAAATATGGGTTCATTTTATGCCGATTCAATTTGCACCAGCTTTTGTAGGAACAGAAATGTGGCATAAACTGAGGGCTACCTGTAATAGTAAAAGTTATTATAATATAGAACAACAAGAATGTTAGCATAAAAATTACATGGAATGCAATGAACAATTACATAGATAAGTTATAAAAAGCATTTGACATTATCCAAATATGGTGAAACCTGCTAATATGATGACCTGCATAAGGTGACCATCTGTGTAAGAGCCACTTTGAGCTGGTCCGTTCAGTGGTCACATTAACAGGTTTCACTGTATATGGCTACTAAATACTGCATATTTAAAAAATACATCAATGTTTATCATACTTTTAGAAAATACAATAAGCATTGACTTAGAAAACACTTTGCAGTATTAAATAACAACACAAATAAATGCCTTTTTTTAATTTTGATTAGAAAAATTTTTCACAAATTGTTAAAAAATAAATTGATCAAGAAAGATGATGTGTAATTTTCAATTTTTATTGCAGACCAATATAGAACATAATTTAAAATATGATTCTTTGATATACTGTATCAATTATTTTTGTATATGAATGTATTAGATCAGAGTTATATTTAATTCACCGATCTCTTTTCATACAGATACAACATAAGTATAAATTACGAGTAGGATGAAAATAAAAATCAAATAAGGATTAATAAAATATTTGCTTTTTATTAAACTGAAATGAAAAATCAAAATTGTGTGTGTTACTAAAACATATAATAATAATTGAGCCATTCACAAGCCAAATCGATTAACTCCACATTTCAAATTTTTAAAAATTTTAGCGTGAAAGCACTTGATATACTCATAACTTTTTATATTTACAATAAGTTTTCCTAATAATAAGGATCAATACCACATAATGACAAAATTTTATTGGCCATCAAAAAAAATTTTATTTATTTCAGAAGCCAATCTAATTCACTCCATACTGTAATGTTAATCTGCCAGTGCAAACTGTGATTGCAATGCTACAGTGTGCGCTGACCAGTGCTTTGTAGATAACAGTAAATTATTTAATGTTATCTCATCACAAAAAGTAAGTAAAAAAAATTAGTTACAGTCAAACTGCCAAAGAGGTAAGTATACTTGTGGAATATTGAACACTTGTTTTAATTTTGGTGACAATTGTTTTAAGAAAAAAGAAAAGTTATACCCGTTATATCAAGATGGATAAAACTAAAAATAATTTTTTTCATTCCTCCTATTAAACATGATTCTTATAAAAATTTAAGAATAAATCGACATGATGGGACCTTAAATACAGCTGATGAAGAAGATATTTATGTTGCTGAATAATTAATTTAAACAAAATTATTTCATTTAAATTAACTATTCTCTTACTGTTAACCATTGTAACAGTAACAGAATAGTTATTATTCATTTTTGCAAAAAAGTCTTTAATAAAAAATGTACACTAATGTGAGGACTGAATTTGATGTTATGGTTTTCCCTTGCCAAATCAATTAACTCCCTCAATCACACCAAAATAGTAATAATAACAACAATTATAGCATATCTATGCTATCTTATACATCTTATATGTCATTAAATAAAAGCTACATCTACAATAATACATTCTACAATGTTTATTTGAATTTATATTTTACAAGAAATTTTAAAAAAAGAATGTATATTACTTTGTCACTTTTCTCCACTTTTTGTTTTATGGAGTTAATCAATTTGGCAAGTGAGTGGTACAATTAATATATCTTTAAATTTGTTCATTGAGTCCCTAAACAACTTGTTGGCTATTTAGGACCATTGGTAACGAGGTTGGAACCCTTATGTTAGATTATTTAAATATTAATAAAGAAGTGTTTTAGCTCATTTGAAGTTGGCTGACAGTATTTACATATTAAAAAATATAAAAACACAGAAGATACAAGAAAAAATACAAAAACACAGAAGTCTTCTGATATTCTTCACAATTGTGTGTTGCTGGTGATTGTGAAGAATCACCAGCGACACCCTAGCTACAGAGACGACCTTTTTATGGAGCCATGTCTCTGCAATAATGCAAATGTGACATTGGCATCATTAAATTAATTTATACATATCACATTTTGGTTTTTGATATTTTATTAAATGTTTCAGCATTTTTTTTATACATTAATAATTTTTTATTGGAATTTTTATGACAATGAATAGGAATTATACATTATTTTTGATTATTTATTAGAGTGAATAAAATTAAATTTTTAAGGTGACTGGTTGAAGAGTGTTGATGATATTGAAGTAAACATGAATACAATTGGAGAAATTCTTTCAACTATAACTACTGCTCAAAAGGTAAGACTAATTACAGTTTTGAAATAAAAGTTGATTTTATATAATTTTAGATAATTATAATAATAAAATTTATTTTAAGTTAAAATTGTTTTAAAATATATGTAATGTACAGTACATATATGTGTTTATTTCAATTTACTATCAGTTTTTTTACATTTTTTTTTCTTAAATATTTTAACAACTAAAACAAATATTTTCAGATGAATTTAANGCAAATAGAATTTTAATGAGAAGACTTACAGAATTTTTGAGACATTAATTTATAGTAAAATATGTCAAGTTTTACCTCAATTAGTCATTTTGGTTTGATATAAGTACCATTGATGATATAGCAGATATCTCACATGAATTCAACTTTTTGGCAAAATGTCTGTTTCACTTTGGTAACTATGAGAGTGATTCAAACTTTGAGTTCAGTGAGATTTATAGGCAAGAGTGGAATAAATATTAGATCTATAATAATCCCTTAGAAAAAAAATTCAGAGATTTTCTTCTGTTTTTCCAGATTTGACACTGTTTAAATTACTTTATTTGTGTCAGTAGTTTTTTGTAGCATTGCAAATTTATAAAGTTTGTTTTAGAACTCATCAAACAGTTGATTGTGAAATGCCAGTTTTATGAGATGCATTTCCTAGGACTATGAATGAGGCTTGCTAATACATATTTCATGACAGAATCAGAAACATATAGGCCACCAGGGAATTTGTTATGGTTAAGTGTCAACAAAACTTCATTGCCAAATGCATATTGTAGATCTACTTGGACTATCTCTGCAATACTGGTTGCAAAAATTCCATTGAAGTACTGTGGATTTTTTGTTTCCTTAAACCAAAACACATAGCAACTGCACTCTGCACCAGTAAAAGCAGCCAGTTTAAAATGAATGTCTCACAGTGATGGAATTTAGTACTATGGCATTACATGAGACAAATTTGATGGTTTTGCTACTGTATTTTCATAGAATGACCAGCATGCCAGTCTATCTGGGGAAGACCATGAATCATATATTTCCATATGGTGAAAACTGTTTATCCCACGGGAATGCAGGCATGCTGGTATAAGTGAGGCAATACATCCCTCTATAGAGGGTACATTAAAAAAACAAACAAGTTACATCACGTAAAAACAAATGAGTTTTTATTTTAAAACTGTGAAACTGTCAGCTTAAAAACTACAATTATATGTTTAATTTCTTCATTTTGTATTCTTTCTAATGATATATAAAATATTCTTGGAACTCTGAGAGTGCTTTTTTTAATGTGAATTTTATAGTTATTTGATTCAAAAATGTAAAAATAAACATATTAAATTTAAGAAACTCTGTAAATTATCTCAGCTTACATGATTAACATCAGCTTTGAAATTTGAGAGGAAGGAAGGTGTTATTTTTAAGATCATGGTAGATGGTCAGTGTAGCCCACACTGACTAACTACTAATACTACTATTATTACTACTGTCAATAAGTCATTGTTTTATTGTATTGTAAATGAAAACTCGCTTCCTGATTTTTAGTCATTCAAATTAAAAGAATTTTTATTGTACTGATATATTATTCTAATCATTGGTTAGTTTTTATTACAAATTAATATTTCAGTTATAATTTTGTAAATCATTAATATTTGATATTAATACTAACTTAATTGAGTTGAGATTAATATGCTATTTCATACATGGTAATTAAAAAGGACTTTATGATCTAAAAATCATAGAAAGCAAATAGAATTTTAATGAGAAGACTTACAGAATTTTTGAGACATTAATTTATAGTAAAATATGTCAAGTTTTACCTCAATTAGTCATTTTGGTTTGATATAAGTACCATTGATGATATAGCAGATATCTCACATGAATTCAACTTTTTGGCAAAATGTCTGTTTCACTTTGGTAACTATGAGAGTGATTCAAACTTTGAGTTCAGTGAGATTTATAGGCAAGAGTGGAATAAATATTAGATCTATAATAATCCCTTAGAAAAAAAATTCAGAGATTTTCTTCTGTTTTTCCAGATTTGACACTGTTTAAATTACTTTATTTGTGTCAGTAGTTTTTTGTAGCATTGCAAATTTATAAAGTTTGTTTTAGAACTCATCAAACAGTTGATTGTGAAATGCCAGTTTTATGAGATGCATTTCCTAGGACTATGAATGAGGCTTGCTAATACATATTTCATGACAGAATCAGAAACATATAGGCCACCAGGGAATTTGTTATGGTTAAGTGTCAACAAAACTTCATTGCCAAATGCATATTGTAGATCTACTTGGACTATCTCTGCAATACTGGTTGCAAAAATTCCATTGAAGTACTGTGGATTTTTTGTTTCCTTAAACCAAAACACATAGCAACTGCACTCTGCACCAGTAAAAGCAGCCAGTTTAAAATGAATGTCTCACAGTGATGGAATTTAGTACTATGGCATTACATGAGACAAATTTGATGGTTTTGCTACTGTATTTTCATAGAATGACCAGCATGCCAGTCTATCTGGGGAAGACCATGAATCATATATTTCCATATGGTGAAAACTGTTTATCCCACGGGAATGCAGGCATGCTGGTATAAGTGAGGCAATACATCCCTCTATAGAGGGTACATTAAAAAAACAAACAAGTTACATCACGTAAAAACAAATGAGTTTTTATTTTAAAACTGTGAAACTGTCAGCTTAAAAACTACAATTATATGTTTAATTTCTTCATTTTGTATTCTTTCTAATGATATATAAAATATTCTTGGAACTCTGAGAGTGCTTTTTTTAATGTGAATTTTATAGTTATTTGATTCAAAAATGTAAAAATAAACATATTAAATTTAAGAAACTCTGTAAATTATCTCAGCTTACATGATTAACATCAGCTTTGAAATTTGAGAGGAAGGAAGGTGTTATTTTTAAGATCATGGTAGATGGTCAGTGTAGCCCACACTGACTAACTACTACCACTACTGTCAATAAGTCATTACTTGTTTTATTGTATTGTAAATGAAAACTCGCTTCCTGATTTTAAGTCATTCAAATTAAAAGAATTTATTGTACTCGGAAGAATGTTTTCTGTAACATTTAATTAATAACTAGTTTTGTTAGATCTGATTAATTTTACATTTTAGCCGCAGTTTAGCCAGTATGCCAGTAACCCACGGATTTCTGGCATGCTGGTCTCCCTATTTATATGCAGCTTGCTGGTCATTCCATGAAAATATGGTATAAATTAACACCCAACCATTCTATAATCTTCTAATTAAAATTCTATTTATTTTCAATGTTGTAAAGTCCTTTTTGAATCATCCTATATATGCACTAGTCAAATAGTACACCAGAAAAATCATTAGTACTATTTATTTACTTATTTTAATTAAAAATTTTATCTTTATTTTTAATTATAATTTGCAGGAAGACTATAATCCACTTGTCAAACAGTTAAGTGGAGATAGATGTACCATGGAAGAAATTAATTTAACTTATTGTCATATTCCTCATATTATTTTATATTTAACAATTGGAAGTGATAATGATTCTTTGGCTAAAGAGGTACATTTTGAGATTTTTGTTATCAAATCTTACAATATGTCTTTAAAAAGGATAAAACTAAAAAGAAAAATATCATGTATTTGTGAAAGGATGGTGTTCTCTACAAATTTCCTGAAGAAGATAGTACTCTGTTATCTCTGAAAGGAATGTTCATCACATTAAATCATATGATAGCAGATGTTACATCATCTCCACCACTTAAGTATGTTTAATTTCTTAAATATAAAAAGTGTTTATAGTTAAATTAATTTGATTTTTTTCATACAGTTCTACTCTTATGATAGATGAACAATTAGTACATGTTGGATATGTTAGAGAAGGAAGGGAGGTGATGGTTCTTGCATTACCTGATACTTGGTAAGAAAAAAAAGCTCTATCTAATTAAAAATACTGAAGTAAAAGCTTAAAATGTAAGAATTATATCTCTCTAAACATTAAATATTTTGAAGATGGCTTGTGGTTATAGTTTAATAAATTTTTATATCATAAGTATTAATATTATATTTTTATGTGCATAAAATAATATTTTGTTGAAATACTTAATTGATTAATGATTACCAGTTTATAAATAAATGTAATGATAATGTAAAATCATATTATGAAAAAAGGGAATATTTTAAAAATTTTAAATCTTTATATTGTTTTATAGAAATTAAAATTTTGTACATTATTGTTTTAAATTATATTAGAACAAAAACAGCAATTATATAAATTCTGTTTTTTATATTTATAGTATAAGTTCATCAGAAATTCAATGTGTATCAAATGATTTAGGAAGATTTATTCGTATTCAGTATCATATGTTAGGAAAGTAAGTAATGAAATTAAAGTATTATAAATTTGACATTATTAACCTATAACTTATTATTAACTTATATTTTTATTACTGAAAATACAATAATTTTTGAGTTAAAGTTTTGGTTTATAGTAGATTAGATTATTATTAATAGACCAGCAGATGAACCCGGCATTGCCCAGGCAAAACACAACAACAAAGATTAAGATTATTAGATTATTTCGTACTTCTAATCCTCTATTCTAGTAGCCCAGAACGTTCCCTAGAGGACGTTCTAGCAGCAGCAGTGTCATTCCATGGTATAAATAATAAATTCCTATTACAAATAAAAAATAATAATATACTGAATTTCTCATGGCATACCCTATTAAAAATGCAGCCAAAAATGCAAACAACTGCATCAAATAATAATATAATGAATTTATTGTTAATTTAAATAATAGCTAAGGGTGCCTCTAGTGGCCATTTTTGGCATACAGTGACAGAAAGAAAGAATCTGGTTTTTCAGCTTTATATATATTGATCTTATTTAAATTTTTATGTATTTTCTTTGAAGTTTTCTAAAAAGAATATACCATATTTACTCACATATAAGACAACTTTGCATATAGGATGAGGTGTGACTTTAAAGATTAAACTAAAGAAAATTAGATTTATTAATACAATTCTAATTTTATTTCATTTAACCACAAGTAAAATATCAAATAAACGTAAATGCACACATTGTCCCTCAAAAATTACTGGCATTTTAAACTTTAAGGAAAAATCTTGTAAAATCAACAACATAATTTGTTCATGTAAAGCTGGACAATTGGGAATCTTTTTTTGCCAATTCTTAACAGTCGATCCACTCTCGTCGATTACACTTATGAGTTTCTCTGAATTCTGATTTCCAAATAATCATCTGTTTTCACATGGGAATGGATTAAAACTTATATCATTCTCCCGTATTTTCACCATTTATCATCTTTGTATTCCAGACTATATATTCGTGGTGGTTCCTTTTTTGGGAGGACTTTGTCTTCAGATATTTAATTATAATTATTGTCATCAGACAAAAATTTACAGAAATTCAGATTGTTTCTTGATTCTGAATAAATATTACTGTACTTTTGTATGTATAGCTTACCGTTATATGTATTTGAAAGTTATGCAATAGAACCAGCTACATGCCAATTCTAAATTTCAATTAAAAACTCATCAAACAGCTTTTTATTTTCTAAAGTCTCTAAGAGTTTCTTTAGAAAACTTGAAAAATTTTTTATGCACTGCAAACATATTCATTTGCCATTACAATTTTTCCCCAAATCACCAAAAACACCTATACACATATCTTTCTTTAGTTCTCTCTTAATCATTTTCTTTACGTTAAATCCACTGTATAATTGATGTTGTTAGACCCTTTTTATTTGAATTTATATCCTGAAAATTGATAAAATTTTTGGTAATTAGTACTTTTGATAATATAATGAAGTTATTTCAGGGAACTTTCTTTGTTAAGACACCTGATAGAATAATTATTAACCTAAAATAAAGTCATTACTTCAAAGTCATTACTTTTTTATAACTATAAATTGAATTTTGACAAGTAAAAATAATTATATACATTTAAAACAATAAAACAATACATTTAAAACAAAACATTATTAGATTGACTAATAATGTTTTGTTTTATTTATTTATTTTTTTTACAATAACGTTACTTTCAGAGACATTCTGAAGAGGTTAAGACAAGTTGAAAGAACTCAATTTTTATGACTATTCCAATGCCAACCATTCCAAAAAATTGCAGTTTGCTTATCAATCTTCATTATGCAAACTTTTATTTCTACTATATTTCTATCCTAATTGAGTTTTTTACTAAAGTTAATTTTCATAAATAACAGATTCTCTCTGCAGCTCAATTTTTTAAAGACTAAAAACTGCAAGTCTATAATCAACTTGTCCTGATATGCACACTTATAATTTATTGATTATCTGGAGTTCCATATTGTTCTTGGAAAATGGAACTAGAATTTACAAGAACTTCAATTTATAAAAATTATTACCATGCCCAACAACATTAAAGATGATAACAATTATAGTTTAAGAAATTCTGCAATTATCTGTGAATATGGAGAAAATCAATTAGCATTTTAGACTTACTTGGCCAATGTTTAAGAAAAGAGACTACAGCAGGATTTATGGTGTGTCATTTACCACAGAAATTTGAAAATAAAAAGCAAAAAGATTAATTAGTTTCTTTGTAGGATCCCAGATCATTCAATTGCTATTAAGTTCTCATCTGGAAACTATCACTACCATCATTTTACCATTATTATCATGAAGTTAATTTCATACCAGATCAAAAATAGAAATTGTAGTATATATAAGTTTATGGAGTTTTTAATATTTTGTAATATATTGTTACAAAATAATAAATAAAATTTTAAAACCTTTATCAGAAAAATCTAATATAAAATCTCTTTTTTCTTGCTATTGTATCTATTAAAATAATAAATTATTTAATAGTAGAATTATTTATTTTTATCAATTTTTTTCTAGAGCATTTGGAGATCATGAAAACAAAGAGTCATTAGATCATTTTTTTTCATTGTTTTTTCATTATCATCTTTCTCGAGCCTCTCAGAATTATAAACCATTGAGAGATGAATCCATCTTTACTGATACTTTACCCTGTGCACATTCTTTTCATTTTACTGCAGAAATTGAGGTAGTAATAATTTTTGTTTAACTTAACTATTTGTTAAATATTAATTACATTATGAGCTCATGATTAAATATTTTAATTATAAAAAATACTTAATATTAGCTTATCTTTTATATATATTCACTATATCTATAAAATAATATTTTCTGTTACAGACTCAAATAGATACAACATTAAATGAGTTAGAATCTGCTGATTTTGATGACATGGTAAAAATTTTATTTTATAAAGAAAAATATAAGTAATATAATTTATATCATTGATTATTTAGATAGAATATGTTTATATTTTAATTTGTTCTGCATGCATATTTTACTTAACTTATAATTTATATGATCTGCATGCACTGTAGTATTAACAGATGTAACACGATAGTTCTAACTTTCTAGGAACTTTTACAAATTAGTGACAAATGAAATGTTAATTGCATGTAACTTATTTATTGAGTTGTCTAGAAAGTTTGTATATTTATGTTAACTTAAATAAATATACAAAACTTCAAAGTTACAGGAAATCCTCATTAGTTCAAACTTCAAAGGATGAAATTGTGACTGAATTATACGAGATTTGCATATTTCTGTACAGTATGCCAAGTGCCATGTAAGTGATGTAATTTATTAAGCAAATTAAATACAGCTACATATACAGAATGCTATTTTCATTAATTAATAATAATATAAATAAACTGCAGGTAAATAGCACATATCTGATAAGAACCTCACAGGTTTGCCAGATAAGTTTTATAAAAAGTAAAACAGAATTTTCAAAATGTAGCCCAAATTATTTTTAAAGTAGCTCAAAAGTAGTAAATCACCCAAATCTAGTAGCTAGAGCCCTACAAATACATCAATCTGTTATTTGTAGCCCAATCTTGCCCAGCCTTATTTTATGAGATAAGAAAAAAAAAGGTTATTCCATGGGTAAAGTGGCACCTGAAAATGTGTTTCTGTATAATGGGGTCAACATGGCTTTGCTTTGAGTTATTCTTGGCACTTCAGTCTAAATGAATGAGTTAATATATAAATATCACAGTTTGGACAGAATTTTCACTTCAAATTTTGAATTAGTTGTAATTCAAAATAACCAAATTCCTTGACATGTAAATCTGCATATTCCTGGCTGGGACAAATAGTAGTTACAAACTAATGGGATTTCAAACTATCTGAGTTTGAATTAACAAGAATTTCCTGTAATTTCATCAGCATTTATATTTTCTAGTTTTTATAACTAGGTATATTTTTTGAAAAATTTTGATTCAAAAATTTTCTATGCACTTTTCTGTGATTTTTAATTATTCTAATATTTTTATATTTTTCCTCCTATTTAAAGAAGAGAGATTATTGTGTGAAATATAATGTTGTGGAATGACTGAGAACTTTCCAATTACACTTAACTTGATAAAGAATCACAGATAACTGAATCACAATATTATTACCATGTTCTTGTGAAATGATCAGTATGCCGCATATAAATAGAGGAGACCAGCATGCTGAAAACCCTGAGACTATTGGTGTGAGGAACTGGGAGTGGATCCCTATATACTGCTTAATCGGCAACGGATTGGCACGATCCGCTCACAGAGTCAGTGCATGGCATGTTTCTTCTTGGCATGTTTCTTGCGTTTCAGGATCAACTGGTCAGGTCAAGTGGGAGGGTGAAAGGGGTCATCAAGAAAGTGTAGGTGATATCCGAGAAATAGACACCATTAACAAGAAAAATTAAAATTTTAATGAATAACTAAAATCTGACAAAAGGTTACACAATTTCGGATACATATATGAATAATCAGTGGCATATACCGGACCGAGAGAGTGTTTGAACTGTCCTAAGTACTGATAACTGTTTGCCAAATCCGAGAGAGTTTACAAAATGTTGTGAAACATCCTACCTCTTTCTCTCCTTCAGTGATTTCAGAATCAAACGGATGCTGGAGACTTTTAGTTGGGAAGATGCATAGGATAAATTGGTTTCAGAGAGACGATTGCCCTGAAGTGGGGGTGCATTTACTTTATATTCGTTTTGGGCCTGGGAAAATGATCATGTGATTGAGTGCTGTCAAAGACAAAGGTTGAATTTGCAGGTGTTGGGACAGAGGTGATCCAGGGAGACAAAGAGAAGGTATCGAAATGGGACGTAGAATGTAATCTTTGGTTCATGCCATGTTAGATTCATCCTGTTTATGCGGGCGAATGTTGATGTTCTCATCCTGTTAACTGTAAATTGTTATACTTTCTTAGCAGTTGTTGATGAGAAAGATGACATTCAATCCTTTTTCATCGTGATGTTTTCTTAACGATCATGAGGGAGAATTAGGCTTAACATTTTTGTAAAATATAGCAAAATCAAGTGCTCGATCTCACATTGGCATGCCAGTTATACTGTGACTACATATAAAATACATATAAAATTAATCAGATCTGACAAAACTATTTGTTAATTCATCTCAAAGCCTGATGAGTATATAGAAACATTCTTATATTGATTAGTAATATGCAAGAGTAAAATATTGCTGACACAAATATAAATAAATAAATAATTTACAAATCTATACTAATATTATAAAGAGGTAATGTATTGTATGTATGTAAGTTTGTATGCAGCAGGTAATCTCCAAAACTACTCATCCGATTTAAAAAATTCTTTCACCAATATTTAGAATGGAACTTCAGGGTGGACATAGGCTGTATATTATTCCGTTAAACATTCATATAAATTAAATTATATCATCTAGTGTTAAGGCTTTTATGTCCAACAGATGGCGCTACGAGTACGACACCCTAAGTTTGCTTTTCTGTGAAAATGAATTAAAGCGGATCATCTATCTATTTATATAAATAAAAATGTAATGTTCGTTTGTTCCTACCGATTCCTTTGAAATTTTGATACAATGCTGCATTCGAATACGCACGTGTTTTTATATAATATACATGTCGAAATTCAACCCCACTGAAGGGAGATGGTTAGGATTAAGGCTTACGGTAAAGAACTGTGCTTTTATTTATACTATTTTAGATGCAGGTCTTTGCGTTTTTGATTGCGTTTTAATAGGGTATGTCAACAGAATGTACACTAAGAACAAATTTTTCGATATTCCTCTCGCGGGGGAGAGAGACAGGATTAAGGCTTACTGTGAAGAACTTGGCTTCTATTATACTATTTTAGATGCAGGTTTTTGCGTTTTTGATTGTGTTTTAATAGGGTACGTCAAGAGAATGTACACTAAGAAGAAATTTTTCGAAAAATTTTCCCCCACGGGGGAAGTGTTATAAATTTATAATAGATACATTTTGAGCCACAACAACGCGTGGCAGGGTCTGCTAGTTAGTTTATAAAAATACAAAAGTTGACTACAACAAAATGTAAAAATGAAAATTTGCAAAACAACATAAATTTTTATAAATATTTTTGTTTGAATATAAAATATTTATCTTTCTATTTTTAAAGTCAAATTATGCAATTTCTTTTTCAACTATTGCTTAAGCTATGGCAAGAAAATAATATATATACTGTACAGTACATATATAGTATTTGTTTGTGTGTACAAGAAAAGAATATTGAGTTTTGATCAAAATTAGTTTCAGAAATGAATATATTACTAAATACAAATGAATTATTTAATTTGATTCTGATTTATTTTATAAATTAGATAGTTATTAAAAAAACGAGATGTATAAATTAGATTTCTGCTGTTTAATCTAGCAAATAAAATATTTAATATTCTGAACACAACATTGTTTCTACTTCTATACTTGCATTTGTGAGATAAGCAGAGGGTCAGGGGTTAATCCCTACTGACCACTTACGCTGCAACAGGTTGGTAAAACCCAATCTCCGATTATCAGATGGCTAGGAGGGCAAAGCGAGTGGGGAGTACGTAGGTAAGTTGGCAGGTACAACAATAGACAACAGGTTAAACAAAATAACAAAACATTTATTGAATAGCTATGCTAGGTTACATAAGGTGATAACAATATATAGGTTAAAGGCAGTTAAATATGAGTTAACTATACAAAGGGCTGCTCTTAACAGCTTTAATGGCTATTCTGAGAGAGAGAGAGAGTTCACAAAGCTCTAAAATACAAATACCTCTGTGAGGATATGACTAATATGTGTTCGTTGAATGGGCCATAGGAATCGTAGTCAGCGCAGGAACTGTAGAACGTGGCAAGAATGATGGAAGTTCGAAGTTGTGGTCTGTCGTATGGCGATGTACTTTCGGTTGCTGTGTCTGGTGTATGGAGACAAGATGCACACATTAATAAGTATAACTTCCTTTGGTCACCCTGAGCTTCCGGGGGCTCAAGCTTTTATATGTTCTTTGTGGGAAAGGAATCACATGATCGACTTCTGTTGACACTAACGGTGCATTCCAATCAACTAAATGTCAACTTTCCCATCTAATTGTGAAAACAAATGGTGACCTCCAATATAATTCTCACCAAGAGTGTTTTTTTCATCAGAGTTGTTTACAAAGGTTTTTTCCCGACATCTGCATAAAAATCACGGATCTCACACATTAGATTGATACCATTTTTTAATAATAAAGACTTCTTCACTTTAATTAAGTGAACATTGTAAGCCTATATTCATTTTGAAGTTTATTTACAATTATTCCAGTATCTTCTTCTTATAATCTAAAATATCATGTATTTCACTAAAGCTATATTTTGAGGTATTACTTAAACTATTATTTTAATTATTTCATTTTAGTTAGTCTTCAGAACAATTATAATACTTTTTACAAAAGAAATACAATTAGACTATCATTAAAAGTGCACAATTAGTTTAATTGTAAGTTTAAGTTCAACTGCTTAAAAGTACTTAAGTTTTGATATTGAGTATATATCATAAAATGCATTTTAATTCTGCTGTAATGCTGTGATAATAGCAAATATATTATTTAAGCATATATTTAACAATTTATAATTAATTATTTGTTAGTTAAAATGTGAAAAAATGTTTGAAGATTAAAAAAAAATTAAATTTTTTTCGGTGTTTTGTCGAATTCATAAAAATTGTCTAAAAGATTTTAAATTGTTAAATTGAATTAACTGAGCTTGTGATTTTTATTGTATTATATTACTTTTATAACACAATACAATAAAATTATTATACTGAATTATATTATAATTACAGTTTAAATATATCTAATTATTAATATTGAAATTCTGCTATTGCTATCTTTGATGCCATATTCAGTTTTTTTTTAATTCAAGAGATAGCAATTAATTTATGTTTATATAAACTGCTTATTATTTTAATTCTAATATGTTAAATTAAAAAATATTATTTTAATAATTTTGTTAATTGTTTGAATATTTGATTTACAGTCTGAAGCTTATTATAATACTCAAAGATTGTATACAATTCTTGGATCCTGTGCTTTTTATAAGGTAATTTTTTAAAATTTTAATGTATTTTAATTTAGTTTTAAGTTAGAAATAAATAAGCAACTTTAAATATTATAATTATTTAAAATTATTTTCATCAATTTTTTAATATAAATTTACAGTATATAGTGGTATTCTAGCTTTGACTTTTATGTTAAATTTAATTTAGTGCATCAATTAAATCTTAAAGCTTATAATTCTACTGTATATCTTCTGAAATTGAAAAATTTTCATTTTTTATTTCAAAAATAATCTATAATAAAAATTGTTTTAATAAATTGAATTTTTATCTAATTTTTACATATTTTTAAATTCAATTCAGGGTTATTTGTTAGCTAATCACTTACCAAAGGAAGATTTCTTAGATATCTTTTTGTACACCAAATTGTATCAGCTTCTCAATCTTACAGCCCAAGAACAACTATCTCAAGTTATAATTTGGAGAGAAATATTTCCGACACGTCGCTACAACGATAATGATAATCAAAAAAATAATGACCGAGGTTATAGAGAACCAGATGGAAGATGGTTTCTTTTAATTGTGGCATTGGTGAGATAATTGTTTATAGTTAATGAAAGAATATTGTTGTATAATTTATAAATAAAAATATAGAAATACTTTAACCTTAAAACTTTAAAAATAAAAAATATTTTACATAACTTTATTTTAATACATAAAATCTAAGACTTGGTTTGATTTTAAGAAAGTAATTTTCTCAATTTAAAATTTTAATAAATATTTAAAATTGAAGTATTCTAAAGCATAATTATTCATAATTTTAGAATCACACTTTACTTGGAATAATATTAGAAGCAGGAGGATGCAGTTTACAGTATGTAATGAAATTTTAAATTAATAGATTGTGCATTTATTATTTTTTTTTAAAGAATATTTATGCATGAAATTATTTTTGTGTAATTTTGAAAATTAATTTTATTTTATTCATTTGAACATTAGTTCTCAAACTGTATCAATCATATTATATTGTAGTAAAGATTTTCTTTCATTGTATTTTTATACATACTATTATATGTTTCTTAGATATTTTATTAGTTTCCATAAATTAACAATCAAAATAAACTTTTAGAAAATTTTCAGATATTGACAGCAAAAATTAAGAAGTAATTATATGGCAGAAATGTCGTTAATTTTTTGTTTAAACCAATTTAATATAAAGTAAGCATGGATATACAAATCTGTTTATCTGTAAAAATAATTTTGAATAATTGGATCTCATATTAATTGTAAATCTTTATTTCTTGATTGAAAAAACAAATAAGAACAATCAAAATTACTCAGTTTTATAGATAAGTAGATTTACATTTTCATATTTACAATATATTAATTTGTATTTGATAATGAAAATCAACAATATTGCTTATTATAATTATATTATTTAAATTCTGTACTTTTGTAGTTGATGTTTGGAAACTTTATCAAAATTCATTTTGGTTCTTAAATTATTGAAATAAATTATATATTTAAGAATATTATAATTTGCCTGAAGTAATAATGGAGGAATAAAAAATGGGCAATCTTTCCATATTTCTTTTATGATAGATTAATATTCTGCAGTTTGAGAGCAACTGGATTAAAATAATAACATATGAATATTTTATATTGATTTTCTGTAACTGTAACGTAAAATTTTAATTATATTAACATAATGAATAGAAAACAGTTTTTAATATAAATTTAAAATAGACTAAAATAAAGATAAAATTTATTTATTTTTTCATTTTAGAGCAAAAGGTCATCCAGCACCTGATCCATTTTATGTTGATCAAGCTCAGAATACTGTATTGCAGTTAGAATCATTAGGAATTATAGCACACATTGAAAAATTGTAAGGAAATTAAAATATTCATCAATAAAAAATAATTTATATTATTCAGATCCTTTTCAGTTTTGTATTTATTGTTTTTCATTTCAGTTTGGAATCTGAATCCTGTCCACAGATTTGTTATGCAGATTGGTTTGGTTCAAAAAATAAATTCTCAAAAAGAAACTTTGGAACATTTAGTAAAACATCTCAACCACTTAAATCTACAAATCAGAAAACATTGAGTCAGTCTAATTTATTGAATATTTCTTTTTCTTCAAGTCCTGGAACAGGTATATTTTTATAATTAGCATTTAAAAAATATTCTTTGAATAACATAATTGAATATATGTATGCAAAAAGGTTTTAAATATTTTAAAAATATCTTTCATAAATTCTAATAAGAAATATGTGTAAATTGATATATTTAATTTAATATTTAGGTACAAGAAAAATGCCAGAAATCACATCTATTCTTAAAAAGAAAACAAGTACTGATGGGGAAAGGCAACAATTGTTATCTACAGTTGGTAATATAATATTTTTACTTTATATCATAATTGTTTGGCATTTCCAAACTAAACATATAAAATAATAATATATCTTAAAATTTTTAAAATTCAGGATGAAATATATTTTAAAAAGTTGAAGACTAAATACAAATAAAAAAAATAGTTTATTATTTAAAATAATTGCTGGAATAGGTTGTTTATCTAAGTATTTACAGTAATCCAGTTCATGATCAATATATGGGATAATTTATATTATTTTCTATATAATTAATTAAAAAATAAATTAGTTTTATTAATAATAAATACATGTACATTATTAATATTTTTTATAATAGGACAAGGAGATGCTGATTCAGATGCTGAAACTACTCATTCACCTGGAACTAGTGATGAAATGACACCAATATTAGGACGGAGGGGAAAAACAGAGAGCAGTAGTCATACATCGGCAAGTTCTGATGCTGATTCAAGAACAAGTAGTGAAGGAGCAATATATAGGGTATATTTTTCAAAATTAATGTTATTTATAAAAAATCAATGTAATGGAATTATATTTAAATTATTTCTTTATTCATTTCAATTTAAAAGGTCAAGATATTTTCAGTAATCTGTCCCTTGTTCTGGTGTTGATCCTTTAAATTCAATGTAATTGAAATACTTTAAATGCAGAAAAATAATTAAATTATATACAAATATTAAATATAAAATGTAATATATTTAATTGAAATTCTTAATATTTTCAGTTGAAACTTGATCAATTTATAAAGTTATTCCTTTCTTATTATTAATTAACAAAAGTTAATTCTACATAAAAAAGTGTTAGTGAAAAATTATATTTTTTTTCAGATAATTTATTATAACTTGGCTAACATCATAAAATTTGTAAAAAAAAAAAATATTTAATTTTTTCAGTTACTTATAAAGATAATGAGAAATAGCAAATCAGTATAATTGTGCATGCCTACAAATATGCATGAACAATAAAAAGTAGTAATTAATTTAAATTTTTAAAGTAATTTATATTGATTTTATAAGTTTTAAGTTAAATATATTAAATAATAGTTGTTAGATAGTGAGAGTAATTATCGAGTAATGAATAATAGTAAAGAATGCATTGATAAGCAAAATTATTAATAAATTAATTTAAATGTATTTTTATAATTTATAACTATTTCAGTTAAATTTTTATTATGCAATAATCAAAATGGTAATAAATTTACATGCTAAAATGAAACTTATGTTAAATAGTCAATCATGGAATTGCAGTTGCAACAATTAATCAAGTTTCCTATAAGAACTGATTAGTCTAAAATTAAAGTGGTGTAAAGTGTTTGAAAAGGCAAGCATTAGTCCAAAAGGACTAATCAGTTCTTATGGGGAAACTTAGTAAAACTGATGTTCTTTTGTTTATTTATTTCTTTATTAGTTATTTATTTTGCATTGAATTTTAGAAATGCCATTAAGCAGTTGATTTTTGCCCCAGTACATAACAAGCTCAAAAGAAGTTTAAAAATTACAAAACAAACAATGGAAAAACATGAACAAGTAATAACATGATACGTAAAAAATATATATAGCAGAGAAATATAAATAAAAAACATACAGATAATATACATTCATTAAAAAATATTAAAAAAAATCTTGTATTAAAAAACACATTCAGCAGTATGCTAAATAAAAAGTGTAATTATAACAAGCAAAAATGTGGGAATAAAAAAGAAAATAGTAAGAATATTAAAAAGAACAATAATAATAATAATTAAGAAGTAAAAAGTAAAGAGAAATATTTATGAGTTATGTAAGAAATGTTGACATGTCTGCTTATAATGAGCAAATTTTTCACGGAGTAGACATTGTTGGGTGCATGTTATCAGCTATTTGATAAAAATAAGATCTTTGTGACAATGACAAACAAAAATGAGGAGTATATATACATGTAGTTTTATGAGTGTTTCTTCCAGGGATTCTTAGATTTAGCCAAAATTGTGGAATTAAACTGTTAAAATATTTTAAAAAGAGAATTTGATTTGATATATTTATTTCTTTTGAAGAAATCGGGAAGATCTAGCCTTACTCTTGCAACATTTGGGTTATTGGTTTATGGTAGGTTACTAAACTTATTTAAAAGTAGGTAAAGTTTATCAAGTTCTCTCAATATTTTAGCAAGTAAAGAGGGGCAACCCATGGACCAAATGGGAAGACAATAGTCCATAAGGGATTGAAAATTGGCAAAAAATATGAACCATAGAACAGATTTAGAGGATATGGTTTTACAAAAACCATATCCTCTAAATCTATGCCAAATAATGCCAAAATATTTGGCATTATTTTGAAATCATAATATCCTGCAATGGATGGCCAGTGATTTTACTGTCTTGTCTGTATGGCTTCTAAAAGTTAATTTAGTGTTGAAAATAATTTCAAGATCATTGTATGTGTTGACATATTGTAATGCATGAGTGTTTGTAAAAAGGGGTGGTAGGGGTTTATTCCTGAGTAAAGAAAAACACATTATTACAGATTTTTGTACATTAATTTTAAGGTTAACTTTACTAAAGACAGAGGATAAGTGGTGAAGATTGAATTAGAGAGTAGTGGGATCATGATTTAACAACTTTATATCGTCTGCATAGTTGATAATGGAAGAATTTAAATTAATAAACAACTTGTATAAGTTTATAACCTTTAAAACCTGGATGGTGCGAGGAAACACGTATATTAAAAAAAATGAAAGGGAAATCATTACTGCAAATGAGAAAAAAAAATGTTTTTTTATGCAACATCAGATTGTATAATATAAATTTTTAACACTTGCACCATCCTAGGTAGTAAGTAAGTGTCATACAAGTGTGATGTTGAGATGCTTAAGTATGGCAGGACGAATCCACTTTTTTGGAGATAAGGTTGGCCAAGCTAACTCCTCTAAATACTGTATGGTAGTCAGAATTGTCAATGAATTGCAGTTGAGATGGTTGGTGATTTTACAACAAAACGTTTATTTCATTAAGAATTAAGTGATTGTAAAAAAATAACTAGGTAGTCAAGTAAATTGCAGAATATTCCAGAAGATCATATATTAGTCCATATTCAATTTTAAAAACAAGTAAATATTATTTTAAACTAAAATTTTATTGTGGTTAAATTATGGTCATTGTTGTACAAAACTCTTTTCAGATTTTTATCATTATATATTTAAAAATAAGATATTATTACTTAAATGCAAGATTATTTTAAATTCATTTCTTGTTACTTTAATATTTCTTAAAGTTAATCTAAATATATAAAATTACTTGTCCTGACTGATTGATTGATTCATCATTGCTCAGAGCAAACTGTTGAACCTAAAGAGATGAAATTTTGTACACAGTTAGGGTACATCATGAAAACATACACTAAGAAAGGATTTTTCAAAATTCCCCTCAGGTAGAGAGGGAGAGGATTAAGGCTTAACCTGAAGAATGGCTTGTACTGTAATATTTTAGATGTGATTTTTTGTTTTTAACTGTTTGGTTTTCGTTGAGTACTTAGGTGTATTAAATTGATAACATTTCAGACATTGTTATAAATATTTTTATATATTTCAATTTTTTAACCAAATGTTCAAACTGTTTTAAATTTGAATTTGTTATTGCATATTGGTTCGATTATAGAATGATTGTAAACGNGTCCTAAGGTCAGAGTTCACTTCTTAGAATGACTGTGGGTGGTACTCTTCCCTACCTGACTTCGGTGGGGTGAGGTGGCTGTTTTGCCTGTTTGTAGAAGAGGGTCGCCATTTTAGATTTTATTTTGACTCGATTCTCGGTCCCCTGACTACCTACGAGTCTGGATTTTTTTTATGCGCAAATGATTTGGGCACCTAATACTCTGTGCTAAATATCAACTCTCAACATGTACTCCTTCATACTTCTATGCTAGTAAGAAATGTGGGCAGTACGATTTTATAAAGAAGACATAGTCTTGTCAATAAATACAGTTGTCCCTTGATAATCCGACAGGTATAGGACCAAAGGGGTATCGGATTACCAAAAGTGTCCGGATTACCGAAAGTGATTACATATTTGGTATTATTTTTAAAGCAGTAGCCTACAATATTCTTACATTTTATGAGTAAAAAGTAAGAATAGTTAATATGGAAATGGTTAATATGGAAATGAAATACCCATTTCAGTTAACTAAAACATGTTTATTAAAAGAAATATGGAAGCCAATAAATGTACAGTACATACAGTATGTATAGGCATAAATAATACAGTACGGTACAGCATTATAACTAAATGCCATAACATAGGTAGATTAATTATGTACATATGTAAATATGTACATACTGTGTTCACACTTTGAAGAAATCTTTGATTGTCTTTTGCTTTTTCTTGTTTAGACAGTCTGTCATTGTTTGTTCTTGTATCTGCTTTAACATCAAAATTTTCTCAAAGTCATATGCTCTCTCCTCGCACCAACACATCAAAGTGTTTGCAGCCAACACATCAAAGTGTTTGCAGCCAACACATCATCATTACAGTTGACAGTGAAAGATTTTTCCTCCTGTGCTTCCTGGGTCATGTCTTCACCAGATTCTGTCATTTCCTTAATTATTTCTTCATTTGTTAAGTCAGCATTGAGATTGTCATCTAAAATCCAGCTTCGTAAAGTTTCACTTGATTCTGATGAATTAGTCACTTCCTTGCAAATTTGAAGGGCAGCATCTAGTACAACTTGCAGAGATTGGTCGTTGGATTCTTTGTCAACTTCTATTGGAAAGAGTGGGTTACTGGGCCAAATATTTTTCCATGATTTAATCAATGTAGTAGGTTTGACTTGCTGCCAGGCAAACGCAGCATTGATAATCGCATCTCTGATATTAAATTTTTTCAAAATTGATGTGATGTCAGCATTAGATTGACTGACAATATCCATAAGGAGTCGCTTCTTGTAGTGTGCCTTGAGAGTTTTGATAACATATTGATCCATGGGCTGAATCAATGTCATAGTATTTTTTGGTAAGTACATTGACATTGCCTTGATATATCTATCGGCAGTTTTGATTTTTAATTTGTCCTTATCAGGATGTCCTTGAGCATTGTCTAACAAGAAGAGGGCTTTCACTGGCAGTTTCTTTTTTCTTAGCTCATCTTTAATTTGCGGAACAAAGCTGTTCTTGTACCAATCCAGAAAAACTTCTTTTGTCATCCAGGCACGGCTTTGGCACATGTACGTAACTGGTAGTGTCAATATTTTAACACTTTTGAAGGCACGAGATTTTTTGTACGTACCCACAACTAGCAGTTTTAACCTGTGGGTTCCTGATGCATTCGCACATAACTTGAGAGTGATACATTCTTTCTGAAGTTTTCTACCAAAAACTTTTTTCTTCTGGAGTGACAAATGTCTTTGTTGGAAGTTTCTGCCAGTTTAGACCAGTTTCATCGGCATTATAAAGTTGTTCAGGAGTTAAGTCTAATTCACTGATCTTTTTGCTTAAATTCTGAATAAATTCAGATAACTTGGACTCATCTGCATTCAACTTCTCTCCACTCATCTGCAAAAATCATATTTTGTACTGTTTTTTGAAGTTTTCGAACCAGCCGTGACTAGCACGAAAATCAGTTTTCTTTGTCAATTCCTGATAAAAAAAAATTGAGCTTTAATTTTTAAAATGGCACCTGAAATAGGAGCATGTCTGCTTCATTGTTGTTTAAACCAAATGTACAGAGCTTCTTCAACTCAGGGAATTCACTCATTTTAAGGGTTTTTCTGTCCCTAGAATCATCCTCTACAGATTTCATAAATTTTTCAATTTTGTCTTTGTTTTTCATAATGTCATAGACTGTAGCTTGTCCAATATCATAGAATCTAGCATTTTATGCTTTCGTTTTAACTTGTGCTTGCCATTGAACTGAACTTTCTAAACAAATTAATTAACAACCCTTCCTAGATCACGAGGCATGTGTAAGATGCATGGTGGCAGTTTTTCAGCAGCATTTTCCTGAAACTTTTCAAAATATTTGATTTCTCTAATTTTTTTGAGCTGTGAAAAATGCAATAAATAACGTTTTTAGTGCACGCCGAGTTTACTCGCAAAAATAAGTTGAAAAAGTGCCGGTGTCTCAGACGCCGCGTGATCTATTGGATAGGAAAAATTCAGCATAAAAAACACGCTCGTGATAATCACGATTGTTGATCACGACCATCGCAATCATCTTTTTCGCTATCAATTCTTTTCTCCCAGTAATTTTTTTATTTCCCTACTTCAACTGTTCGAACAGAACTGTTCATGGAAAACATACAAAATGTGTCATCGTGTAAAATTGGGTGGGGAGATTTATGTCACGACATGCTTCTGTGCAAGCAGACACGTGACGGGGACACAGTGACCTTGCAAAAAGTGCGTTGGACTACTGAGCATGTCGGATTACAAAATGTCAAACTATCAAGGGACAGCTGTATTAGTTTGATTTATTCTTGCTAATATAAATATAAAAATAAAATTTAATCAATCATATTTTAAATTTTAGAGTCAAAAGTCTCACAGAATCTTCCCTAATAATTATGATTTAAGTAGTATTAAAAAAAGTTTAGAAGAAGCAGAAGAAGAAATCACAGCATCAGGTCCAATAAAGTAAGAATTTATTTTTATTCATTTAGAATTTAAAAGAAAAAAAATTAAGCTTCATGAGCTACATAAACAATTTAAATAACTGTAACATATACAGTACTTTCAAAATCATTAACATCCAGCTTCATCAAAATATAATCCTGACATTAATGATTTTGGAAGTAAATGGTAAATAGAATTATTTACTTCCATATAGTAAATGATTCCATTTATTTAAGAAAAATGAAACATCTCTATCTTGAAATATAACTTTCATATTCTTTCAATCGTCCTAATTTTATTTGTAATTAGAACACAATGAAACAATACTACTTTGTATAACTTTTGCTTATTAATTTACATTAGTTTTAGGTATAACTAATAAAGTGAAATTTACAAACTTTTTAGCTATAAAAATTTGTATATATTAGTAAATATATAGAAACTTATAAATCTTATATTATTTTAATCAGTTTTTATTATGGAATCCTGAATATATTAAAAAGATGGAATTGGGAACTATATTAAAAGTTTAGTTTTACTATTTTCTATACAACTATTTAATTATGTTTGAAATTTAAAAACTTTACTGGCTTTCTGTTCTTGAATTTTTTTAGATTGTAGAGTTAAGATTGAAAAATTACAGAATTAAAGAAAGCAAATTGACATATACGTTAAAATATCAATTTCCATTTCAAACTATATTAATTTGACTCAAAAGTTTCTGGACTGAGCCTTTTTCTTGGGAATGACAAAAGTGAAACCTACTAAGTTGTAACTTTGAAATAGCCTCTTTGTACAGTGATGCAGCAGTTACAACAGTTTTGGAGGTCCTCAAACAGCTCTAACTTCTACTCTTCTTCTGTAGTGGATTTTAAGTTGTCCATTGGATGTCATTCACACCATCAAAATGTGTCTTTTATAGATCATTTCAGATGGGAAAATTAAAAAACAGTTTTAAGAGGACAGGTCAGATGAGTAGGAAGATGAGGAAGCATTGTCACCTGTTCTCCAGCTGTTATACTGATATGGCATTATGTGGTCTTGCATTATCATGAAGAAGGTACTATTTCATGGTGGCAGTGATGGACATTCTACATTGATTGCCATAGATAATCATATAGATATGTTGATTGACAGTCTAGCCATTGGCTATGAATTCCATTTGCACGTTATCTCTTGCATAAAAAAAAATGCAATCAGCATGGTTTTTGTTATTGGAGAATTAATTTCCTAACACCACAATATGCACTTGCTTTCTCTCTAATGGTCACCATTTTGCAGCAATGCTTGTTGAGAACAGTATTTTCAGCAATAGAGTAAAACTTTTTAAGTTGCTATATTTGATGTAAAAGACATCTCATGATATTTATTTTGGTTAATTTTTTATTAAATATCTTAATCCACTCAATAAATTGTAGACATCTTGTAATATTCTGTCTCTCTCTTTTTACATTTACCAAACATCAGAAATTAGGCTTGTAATATTTTTTTATGTTGTTTTGTATGAAAAATAAGTATGCAATTATTGTCTGAAAGAAATTCTGAGTGTTTGACTTCATAAAGAATGAATAGAATTAATTTTATTGTTTCATTGTTAATTTTATCAATATTTACAATAATTATTATTTATGAAATTATTCAATTTTATTTAAATATAAAATTTATGTATGAAGGAAATGTTAATATAAACTTAAATTGTGATCTACACCCTTTTAACCAATGTAACATATATACTACAACATTAAGAATAGAATTTAACTTGTTACATAATTTTGAATAGGCATATTTTTAGATGACAAAGCTGTCTATTTCAAATTCAGTAATATTTTATCATTTGTTTGTTTATAAAAATTCTAAATTTTTGAAACTTTTTTACACTCAAAATAAGTAAATTTCACATTTAAATGCTATACTATAATACATATTTTAAGTTTTTGATTAGAAGTTGTATACTTGTTGATAATCAAATTATTGCAATATTTAGGTTGGTTGCCGGAAAGGAAAATACTCTGTTTCATTACATAAATGTTGACATCGCAAATGGTATATTTATTGCACCTACTGATCATGTCAACAAATGGAATCTAGGTCCCATACATACAGAAATAATAAATAACTTTCACCGATGCTGCCTTCAGATACGTAAACTCTTTCAGGCCACTCTTAAACAAAAAGTAAGCTATATTAATTATTATAAAAATTTTATTATAGTTTTTAAATTGTTTTGAAATTATAAATTGTAGTCAAATTTTTTCTATTTGTCATTTTATCTTAAAATATTTACTTGTAAATTTTCTTCACAATTTTCATTTCTTTTCGATTGTTTTATCATACAAAACATTAAAAATATAGAAGAGTTAAACCTTCAGTATCTAATTCTAAATTACTTTTTATTAAATAAGATTTTAGATTACTTTTATTCAAAAAAATATATTTTTTAAAATAAAATTATAATAGGTAAAACAAATATTTCAAATTAATAAATTAAATGGCTAGGACAATAAGGAATAAAAAAATATTCAGAAATTAGAAGAAACAACAAATGTCTTCATATCTTGTCCTCCCTCAATATCTCAGGAACAAAACAGTCTTTATGGGCACTTTATTTGAGGCTGCTTGTCTGTCTTAATATGTAAAAAAATGCAAAACTTCCCAGGTGGTGGCGCAATCACAATAAAAATACATTATTTAATTGATTTAATAAATTTATTGGGCTACAATTTGAAAAAATTGTAGACCTATAAATTCCCACTGTCATTCCAACTGTCTGTTCGTCCTTCCTTCCTTAATCTCGAAATTGGCATTAGATAGATGAAAGCCAAGACCATATATGGAAAGCATAGGGACAGGAGGCCCCAACTAACTATATATGAACTCCTAATGCAAACCAGAAGTCACATTATTTCAATTCAAAAATTTTTCCCTGAAAGGAGTTACTTAGATGACTGGCATGACTCTATTACTAGCAGGAAAAGTATGATGTACAGGGGCAAGACACACACTACTAATTTGAGGTGAGAGCATATATTTTAAATCAAATAAATTAAAAATATGATTAAAAATTGCAGCCTGATTGTGGCCATGTCACAATAAATAATTGCTCATTAACTAATTACAATCACAATAAAAATAATTAATTGTTTTTTAATTTTTTGTATATTGAGGTGGATGAGTAGCTTCAATAAAAGATTGACTCTGTGCATAAAGACTGTTGTGTTTCTGAGGTGTTGAAGAAGGGCAAGATATGAATATATTTATTGTTTCTTTTAATTTGAATATTTTTATAAATATTCCAAAACTTCAGTAAAAGAAAAATACAATTGAAAAAAACCAGTTGTTAAATCTTTAGTTTGTTTACATTCAAGATGGGGTGTGGCACATATCCAATATTTTAATTTAAGCAAGTGCAATAAACTTCCCCTACACAAAGTCAAAATAACATCTCTTCTTCCAAATATAACAAGAGACTTGTTGATGCATCAAATTTAAGACAATTTACAGCAGTTTAAACTTTTCTTTATACAGTTTAACCCGATTATAACAACATCAGATGCAACAACAACCCTAATATAACGTCAAATTTTTATTGGTCCCACGATTTTACTATACTAGATAATGTTAAAAAACCCACTTGTAACGACATAAAACCCTGTTTTAACGTCATATTTGAAGCACTTTTAAATTTACAAAATTAAATTATAAATTTTATTTATCAAAGAAAATACTGTGTTCAGTCCTAGGGTCAGAGTCCGCTTCCTAGAACGATTGTGGGTGGTACTGTCACCACCTGATTCAATGGGGTGAGATGCGCCACCCCTTTAAACGACGTGACAGTGGGTTAGTCTGCATAGCTCTCATACTCGTGTTGTAGTTTAGCATCAAATCAGGTAAAATGGCTAGCTTAAAAAGGAAAGCGTTAACATTAGACTGCAAAGTAGAAATAATTAAAGCAGTTGAAAGTGGAAGAAAAAAGGCAGATGTATGCAGAGACTTTGGTTTAGCAAATTCTACAGGTCTCGTAAAACTTCATCGGAAATAATGAACAAAATCTACGACTTAGAAAATGACATTGATAAACAATTTTTAGGTGAAAAATGCCTACAATCTAAAATAACTGACTTTTTTTAAGTGAATATTTTTATTGTTTCTTTTTAATTGATATACATTAATTTAACCTAAAAGTGAAAGATATTGGACTTCATGTCTATTGATAGATAAGCAAGAAACGAGAAAATTATCATCCAGGCGTTAATAACACCTGGATGATAATTTTCTCATTTCTTGCTTAATTTAACTTTTTGTTGCCTTTTGATTCGACATTATTCTCAAAACCGAAAGTGCCGCCATTATCGAAACTTGACAAATAAAAATTTCTTATAAAAAATAATTTTTGAAATTTTTAATTACATCGTTGTAAATTTAGACATAATAATGTAAATAAAGTTGATTTAAATATTTAGTTTGCACTTTTATACATACGATATTAAATTAGATGAATTTTATAATAGATTCTTAAACAGACTTGATACTTTTATGGGACTGAAATTATGACCCCGCAGATAACGACACTCGGTTATAACGTCAAAAAGTTGCCGGTCCCATGGATGACGTTATAAGCAGGTTAAACTGTATATATACATAAAGAAGAATAAACATATTAAATAAATATTATAACCAATTAAAAAAAGCATTTGATATGATTAGACATAAGAAAAATGGCAGATTAAGATGTTAAAACAAATTTTTGAATATGATATTTAAAATTTTTCAATTTTAGATTACATGTTGGCTTTATCAAATCCTATTTAATAATTCATGTTTATTCTATAAATGTTCCTAAATGTTTTTATGTAGGTAAACAGTTTAACTATATAAAAACTTTTGCCATATATGCATACATAATTTTTAGATGAATATTTATAGCAAAAATCAATAATTAACGCACAAATTAAATATATATTGTTAATAACATGACACATCATTATACAATTATATTGTTATATAAAATTTATTCTGGAATTTGAATTAAGGATTTTAATTCTTTTATGTAAAATTAAACATGTAATTTTGTCTTTATTTACATGTATATTTTTGTGTGTTCCCATTCATTGAAAAGGATAGTTGTTTAATTATTAGTATATAAAATAATTAATGATAAACCAAAGATAATTGCATCAGTTATTAAAATTTTTGATCAATTTAAATTTAACTATAGTAAATTAAGAAATTTTAATAATAATACTGGATGTCTGATCACTTTTCCAAAATCATTTATATAGATAATGAAATATAAGATGCATTTGTTCCATTTTTGACAAATGAAGAACTATTCTGATAGTTCTGTTTTTTTTTTTTTTAAATAAAAGTTGATTAAGCAGTTTCTTCTAGATTCAATAATTATATTAGGTACTATGAAATATTTTGCAAAATATTTCATAGTACCTAATATAATTATTGATAAATAGTGCTGGATTATTTTTCAGGCTATTATCTGGGTTTTTAATCTCAGAGTAGGGTTTGAGTCCCATTCTCAGTCAGTGTTTTCCAAAATTTTTTAATTATTAATTTACTTAATCTTTACACAAGATTATGGTTTAATTGATTCTCTTTAGAGCAAGTTTAATATTTATCCATTTAACACTTACCTTCAATATAGTCTGAAAAATAATCTGGCAATTTAGACTTAAGTTTGATTTGTGATGATAAATAAAACAAATGGTAAGCTATTTGAAATGGTGTCAGCCAGGGGATGGAATTCAAAGACAGGATGGAAAGAGTAGAAAAATAGTGTGCCACACTCTGCTTTTGACATTGTAAAAATATTGTCAGTTTTGCTTAATTTTTGTATAAGTAAATTGATTTATTAAGGAATAAGATTTTGTTCTCATTTGAAATAAACTTTGAGATTTAACCTACATCGTTCTGAAGCTACATAAACATGTCACAATATTCATCAAATATGCTTACTTCAAATCTAAATAATTTTTAGCTTCTAATGATACAAAACAGCATAAAAAATCTAGTTCAATGTTTTTCAAGTTTAGTAATTTCATTTTTAAAGCGTCATCTTGAACTGCCAGCAGCAGACATAGCTATCAACAAAACTAAAGCTTTATTTCCAGTAAGATTAAACAGTGTTTAATGTAATATTTTTAATACAAGCAATTACATTTTATTATATATCAAAGGTGTTCCGTTTTGTGTTCAAATATTTCTGGTCACTCTAATTATACTATATTCTCATAGCCCTATTGGTGTTATGATTTGCTAATTCATGTTTTATATACTAAATTAAATAATGTATTCACTAAGATGAAAAAGTAAATCTTATCTTATGAAGTCAATAAAAAATAAAATATATCAAATTGATTTAGAATATGATATACACTCTTTGACAAAAAAAATGACATATCCTGAAACAGAGGAAGCCCACGGATGGTAAAAGCTGATATAATCATCTGCATAGTCCATCTGTAGGTATGTGTAAGTTTTCATGGTAAATGAAAGAATAATAGCCACAACAGCCCATGATATCCATGCATCCCAAAGGGGTATATAAGGACTGGCTTTCATTTGCACAAACAAAATTCACAGTAGAATAGGATAGCATTCTCCAGTATTGATTGTGATAATGCTTTAACACTGGATGCATAGAACTTATCAACAGCTGAACAAGAGGACAGATAATTGGCTGTAAAATAGTAAGATGGGTTCAGTTGTTGAATCAGCAGACATTTGTATCATAATGATGCCACAATTGGAAGATGTTGGCACATAGTTTCCCATTAAAAAATATGTAAAACATTTACATATTTTTTAATAATTTGCACACCATTGTGAATTGTTTTTTTTTTTTTGCCAAAGTGTGTATTTTAGATGATAACAATTGTGTTTGTTGGAAAATTTCATCAATTATTTATATGGTAAAAATTTTAATTTTGGAATAATTGAAGATAATTACTGATCTTGGTAATTGCAAATTTTATTTCAAGCATTTTTCATTTTGTGAAATCAGTTCTTAAAATTTTTCATATACACAGTGGGTGATCGGTTAACGAACATAATCCATTCCAAGACTTTGTTCGCTATCCGAATTGTTCGTTAACCGATTATCTATTTACCATAGGTTTCTATGGGAATTTGATTAATTCGTTCCGGAGACTCCAAAAAATAAAAATATATATACTTTTTTACTACGTTTATTTATATGTAATAATAAAAATACATATATATACAGTCTTGCATTTTTATTACTCATGTTTTTTCCGTTTGTAGGGGTTAAAGAATCTGTCCAATGTCGATTGCTTTTCTCTTTTCTTCAGGATTTTTCGAAAGTAATTAATAGCGCTGTCGTCGTAGAGATCCCCAAGCCTATTAACCTCAACTTGGTTTGGATGCCATTCTAAGACCGTTGTTCTGACATCCTCCCACTTCTTCAAAAGATCTTTAATAGCAGATGTTGGCATTGATCCTTTTTCATCTTCCTCTTTTTCAGAAGAAAACATATCTCGCTGAGTTTCTTGGTTTTCTTCATTTAAGCGTTCTTGGAGTTCTTCTGTCGTCAGATCAGTTTCAGATTCCATTATGAGCTCTTCAATGTCATCTTTATTCACTTCCAATTCCAGATCTCTAGCAGTTTTCACAATTTCATCCATAATTTCAGGGACATCCTCTCTCTCTCTCTCTGAATGCAGGAGGGAAACAGCTTTCGCCAAGCAGAATTCAACTGTCGTTGAGTGACTTCTGACCATGCCTTTTGAATGAGCCGTATAGCTTCAAGAATATCAAATTTTTCTTTCCAAAACGTTTTTAATGTCATCGTTGAGGAGAACTGGCATGCTTCAAAACACCGACGAAACAGTGCTCGAATGTACAATTTCTTGAAACCTGCAATAACCTCTTGATCCATTGGTTGGATCAACGAAGTGGTATTCGGAGGTAGAAACTGAACTGTCAGCCAGGGAAAATCTTCCAACAAATTATCTTCAAGGTCTTTTGGATGTCCTGGTGCATTGTCCAATAGCAACAGTGCTTTTAATGGCAATTCATTGGTCTGAAGGTAATCCTTGATGCTCGGAGCACAAACTTCAAACAGCCATTCTTTGAAAAGAGCCTGCGTGACCCATGCCCTTTTATTCGATCTCCACATCACTGGCAGTTTTTCTTTAATTATGGAATTTTTTTTGAATGCTCTAGGGTTCTCAGAGTGATAGACAAGAAGCGGGATAAGCTTCATATCACCGCTAGCATTAGCTCCCAAAAGTAACGTCAATCGGTCTTTCATGGGTTTATGCCCAGGAATATTTTTCTCTTCTTTCGTAATGTAGGTACGGTTCGGCATGCGCTTCCAAAATAAACCAGTTTCATCACAATTGAAAATTTGTTGTGGACAATATCCTTCTTTTTTAATGAGTTCTTCAAATTTGAGACAGAACTTCTCAGCTTCTTCTTTATCTGCACTAGCAGACTCACCGTGAATTGCCACATGTTTAATGCCAGTTCTCCTTCTAAACTTTGAAAACCATCCAGTAGTGGCTTTGAATTCTATCTCCTCATGTGATGAATGTGGAGTTTGTTTCTTCAGTTCTTCAAAAATTTCTCTAGCTTTCTCTTGAATAATAGTCATACTAGTTACATCTCTTTTCATTTCCCTTTCTTTTATCCAAATTAAAAGCAATCTCTCCATTTTTTCATGGATGGAACATCTTTGTTTCTCAGATGTGATTTTCGTTACTCCTTTAGCTCTTTGAGTCTTCTTGATTATATCTTTCTTAGCTAAGATTGTGCCTACTGTAGACCTGTTCAAGCCATACTGCCTAGCAACATCAGACATCTTCTGCCCATTCTCTACTTTGGCTATTATCTCTTGCTTGGTTTCTATGGTGAGCACAGTTCTTGACACTCCACTCTTTTTATGCTCCATAATATTATCAATTTCTGTTTGAAATAAAAAGTTCAGCAAAGCACTCACAAAAATTCAGAGAACAGAAATCAACTAGCGCATGAAAGAATTATGTAAATGTGAGGCCTGAATAAAATTCGAAATTTTGGTATTAAAATGTTAACGAATACCCGATAGGACAGTTAAGCTCTCACCTTTAGAAAATAAAAACCGACGCAAACTTATGGAGTGTCCGACAGTCTCGCGAAGACTATAAAAAAATTATTTGTCAGAAAAATAAACAAAAAGCTGGAATTACAATGGAGTGTTTCAAAGTTCAGGGAAACACTATCCGATCGGCATCGGGTTGAGCGTCGATGTTAACATCTCCCACACTCCGAAAAGTTTCGAATTGTTACCTGAAGACAAGGGAAAATCAATCGGCATTCATTATTTTCTGTCACTTCTTTTTATGCTTGTGCAGTGAAGTGTTCGTTATCCGAACATGTGTTCGTTGTCCGATCATAAAAATCTTTCGCGAAAGTGTTCGTTATCCGATCTGTTCGTTAACCGATCACCCACTGTACAAATATTATAGAAAATCAGTTATTTGAAAATTTGATAAAATGATACAAAGGAAACAAATTTTATTAATAGTTATGATGATTATTTTTTTTTATAAAGGAAATATCAAAGAATAGAGAGTCTGCAAAGTTTGGTCTAAGTACATTGACTTCAGTAAAAGAGCATGGTGTTCTTTTTCATTTCACTCCTCCAACCAACAATAATCCAAAAAAATCTCCTTCGACAGTAGCTTATTGGGTTGTGGGGTAAGAATTTAAAAATTCAAATATAAAATTATTATTATTATTATTATCTATAAATTAATTTTTATTTTTTGCAGACGTCTTTTCTTTACTCCAAATCCACATGAAGTATATGTGTGCTTCCATGATTCCGCATCTCAGAACGTTGTAGAATTAGCTTTTCGTCTGGGATTTGGAATGACAAGTTGAAATTTCAATTGTACATTTTCTGTAAAGAAAGTTTTTCGAACATCAATTATTTTTTTTATAAAATAATGTATATGATTAGGTGAAACAGTTTAATATGATGTTTATGGTGTGATCATCAATCATTCATAGTTAATTTTGTATTCTTTTTTTTTTCCTTTTAAATAAGGAAAAAGAATTTCACAATTTGTAGATGATCATCAATTTTCATCAAAATGATAGTATGCTTAAAAGTGATTGATATTTAAATTAATAATAATTATTACTTTTATATTAAAAGTTACTTCTCACCTGGTACTGGTCCAATTTACTTAATATAAACACACATAAAAACCTTTACTTGACCAGTAAAAATATATTTAATGAAAACAACAAACGTTTTCGACTGCCTTCCTCAGTCTTCCTCAGGTTTTAAATTCTGATATTCGAAAATCGTTGTGCTTAAATATTTAAACATTTTGGAACATATACATCTTTGCGAATAAAATTCATTACGCGCATGCGTATTAATCATTACGTACGTGAACCCAAATATTCACAAATATTATTTTACATATACATGTAAACGATGTATAACACCTTACATAGAGTTGTGGGGGCATTCTGCTTCATACGCAAACCTCCAAGCTNTTATACATCGTTTACATGTATATGTAAAATAATATTTGTGAATATTTGGGTTCACGTACGTAATGATTAATACGCATGCGCGTAATGAATTTTATTCGCAAAGATGTATATGTTCCAAAATGTTTAAATATTTAAGCACAACGATTTTCGAATATCAGAATTTAAAACCTGAGGAAGACTGAGGAAGGCAGTCGAAAACGTTTGTTGTTTTCATTAAATATATTTTTACTGGTCAAGTAAAGGTTTTTATGTGTGTTTATATTAAGTACTTTTATATTTCACTTCTGTAACTTATTTTATAATTATTAATATTATATTGTACTCTTATAAAAATACAAACCAGAACAGTGAATAATTCAGTTTTTATTTAAACAAAAATACTGTTGTAGGCTGTTTAAACTCTTTGACTACATATGATTTTGCATGTTATGTCAAAGAATTTTTTGAAATGACTACAGCATCTGATACACACACAGCTGCTCTTGAAAATAATAAATTTAGCATTATATACAAAGGGGAATAACAGCTTTCCCTGAAAGATACTATTTCAAATTGATACAAAACAGATAATCCGAACAATGACTTTTTTAAACAAGGATTTGACTGCTTTTGCATTTCGTTGTTCTTTGTTCGGAAGTGATGGAATCTGTCTTCAGAGAGCTTTGGCTGCCGCTCGAACGTCTTCAAGGCACACTTGATTGTAGACACATAATCAGAATCCCATTTCTATCATACATCACAAAATCCTTCTGGCTAATGGGTAATACACAACATAGGTGCAGTATACATTTATTTACAAGTCTAAAATAATTCCTGCACATCGTATGTAAATTGATGATTTTTAAGATACATACCATCATATTTTTTAAAATTTTAAATAATGAATTTGGCACAGATTCAATGAGCACCCAATATACTATCTAAATGTTACAAATGATATCATACAATGATTGATTGTAATAATCAAATGATAGCTATCAAAGAATTTAATGGGAAAAAGAAAACTACCGAAAATTTTTCAACTACAGAAAACTTTAAACTGTACAATTTCATTTTTTTCCCCTTTTACAATATCTTAGTAAAAGCTTGTAAATATGCATATTGAATATTTTTTATAAAATTCAATAACTTGCATATGACATTATATATATATATATATGTATGTATATATAATGACATCAAACTTTGTAAGAAATAAGATTCATAGCTTATAGAATATAAGCAATTTCAGGAAAATATTGTAGAATATAAAAAGAATAGTTGCCTTAGAACAATAATTTAATATATTGTGAAATTATTTTGGACAGAGCTGTAAATTCAATAATTTATTTCAATCTTAGATAACTTTATACAAGAAAGGAACAAGCATGTCCGCTTACATACTTCTTTTGTAAAATGTTGAATTTGAGCATTTTTTAAAAATAAAATAAGTAAGAATATTAACTTTCTTTTTAGTATTATAAAGTAGAAAGTTTAAAGTTGTTTCTAGTAATGATTGGATGCAGAATGCCAATAACTCATTGTATTTTGGCTTATAATACTGGAATCACAGACACCAAGATACAAATTGAAAAGCATAGAGCACACTGCATAGAAATTGGCAGATAATAATTTGATAGAAGCTTAAGAGAGAGAAAATTGTAATATATACATATAGTAAATTTTTCTCTAAGAACAATTAAATTCTTGATTAAGGAAGAATTGATAAAATTTACCTTAGAGGAATTTACAGTTTGAAAAATTGTTGAGCATTTAACACATTGCTTGATTGTTTTATGATTATAAAACATGTATTGATATATTTTATCTGCCTTAATCAGTGAGGAGCATCTGAGGATTTTTTAAACATGATGCAAATATTTAAGAAGAAAAGTCCCTTTGTGTTACACTTCTTTATTAAAGAAGATAGCAGCAATATCACAGTGGGTGTGTGTGTGTGTGTGTATGTACTAAATGTGAATCAATCCATTATTGGATGAAGCTGTTCACATTAGTGGCATCAAACACTGAATGCAGATGATGGCATTAGTTCTTATAGTTCAAGGCATATTTTATAAAAAAATTTACCATTTTTACAATCTTTGCTGCTATATGCATAAGACTTTAGTTTCATCGAATGTTGAGCCAATGCAATCATCTTTTCTAAACAACTGCAGTGCAGCAGTATTTGTCACAGAAATGCCAACTTCACATTAGAGTTTTTTTTAAAAATTAAAATATCTACACCCTTGCAGCTTGGCTGCTGTTCTTAAAATTCAAACCTGCCAGAGTAGCAGATGATTGGTGCTGTCATCTCGACCCGCTGCTTCACTTAGGCCAGTATTGTGGAAATCTTCATACCCGTCTCCTCCGCTTATGACTAGCAACTTACAGCCTGTGGTGGCTGTGGTAGAGGCACGACGGGCAGCCAGTCCCTCTTTACTACGAATTGAACGATGATTATATTTTGTAAAACCAGAACAGTCACTTGATCCTCCGAGAGACATCTCAACAAATGTTAAAAATCGAACATGGCCTGTATGACCATGAGAAATACCTGTAAATATTATAGTCATTTGTAAATTGGAGAAAGATAAAAATACAAAATATTTTTCAAAATAATATCAAAAGTTAATATTACCTGACACATTAGGTAAGGTATCTAATTTGGTTGTTGTTGAAGTAAGATGTGGCAGTGGTAAGGTAAGCACCACACCAGCACTCGTACCCACCCATAACAAATCCTTACATGCTAATAATGAAGTAACCCTTAAACATGCAGCTTTATGTTGGCGAATAATATCATCACAACCTGTAGAAATTGATTGAAAAAATTTATATTTGATCATTTTAATTTTAAATTTTTGAAATACCTACCTGATAACATTTTAGTTACAGCAGGTCCTACATTCACATCAAGTAGACACTCATAGGTGGTGGCATGAAATAGTCTGATGACTGCACTGTGCTGAATTGCTGTCCAAACTCCTAAACCTGAAGTCACCATGCATAGTACTGCTCGAGAAGTATCACCACTTACTTGAAAAGTATGCTGGAAATTTTTATTTGTTAGTTTCATTTGTATTCTAATCAAAAGGTAAAAGATTTTAAATTAATTCATACTTCTATTGTAAGTGATATTGTGTTGAAAACTTTAATATTGTTCTGACATCCACACCATAATTTTCCTGCCACAGCCAGCATTTTAGTGATTGGTGCAGAGCTGTTACTAATTTGGACAATTTGAGGCTCATTAATACTCCAACCCCCCTCTGGATCATAGAAAAAGCAAAAGATTATTTTCTTGACTATAAAATGAAGAAAGTTAGAAATAAATTACCTGAATCTTTCTTATAAATAGCTAATTCTCCATTTGCTAAAGATGCAAAGACTCTGTTATCTAAATAACTAAAATAAAAATTATATAAGTTTTCATATATGATAAGTATGCTTAAATTGAAAATTAATAAATCAAGTACATACACTATACAATTAATTGCTGCTGAGTGTTGAAGTTTGATTTTGTTTCTTTTAATCCTAATATTATCTGTACAGTTGTATACATGAATACTAAAAATATATGAATTATTATTAAAATTATTTTATTAATTAAAAATAATCAGAAATTTGAAACTACTACCATCCATCTTCTGTACCCAACCACATTGTTGGCTGATGATTGTCTGTTTCATCTTTATTTTCTTCTTGAACTGTATTTTCTGGTGATTTATTTACATCATCATCTAATAAAAATAATAATAAGTTTATTATAATTTTTTAAATAAAAATTTATGCTAATTAAAATTTAACTATTACCGGGGGAATCTGTTACATCATCATCCTCATCACTTGAGTCACTATAAAAATTTTAAATAAGTTTAAATCTTAAAATTATTTGGAATAAATTTTGAAAATTATAGTAATCCTCATCAATTGTGATTTGTTTTAAAACAGAAAATTTTTTCAATAGTGCAAAAGGGCTTCAAAAACTACTGGCAAACTATTTCTGTTAAAGTATGTTAAAAATGTTTTATTTATACTTAATACAGGTGAACTTGCTATTCTATTAATAAAATACTGTACCACCAATCAAACCTATTACTGTTTACTGTGTAGAAACCTCTATATCTCGAAACCTGTTAATGTCAAATTTTTTCTCGTTCCTATGAGATTCAAGATAGAGTCAACTGTATTAAAATTCCTGGAAAACCAAAATTAATGCTGATAAATTGATATGATGGAAAACTTCTTAATTAACTAACATGATTGGGATTAGTTTGTTAAATCTTAAACTTTTTTATTACAATATGCCTTAGAAAATATTCACAATTTCTGTTGGATTACTATTTTTTAAATCTGTGAGATTACATTTGAACAGAATTAAGTATATTTTTCAATATAATATTAACAGATTAAATTTTTGAAAATCATACTTATCTAACCACCTAAAAAGGGCTTTTTGGACTAATAAACAAATTGTTATGTCCTTCTAATCAGACTTTTTACTGGAGTTCAAGAATTACTCAGATACTATTTTAATTTCCAGATGTTTTATTTATATGCATTTTGAATCTAACATTTCTGCCAATCCCTACTCAGTAATATTTATGCAAATACCAATAGGTACGATCTATGACAAAGCCCATGCCAAGTATTTGTAATCATCTAACACCACTCTACAATTTCACTAAGGGTATCTGAGTAATTGTTGAACTCCAGTAAAAAGCCCGATTAGAAGGATATAACAATTTGTTTATTAGTCCAAAAAACCCCTTTTAGGTGGTTAGATAAGTAACTGATTAAGCCAGTTAATATTGCTGAATTCATATAATATACCTGTCTAATTGAATATTTCCATTATTTGTTCTTTCTATTCCTTCTCCATTGTCTTCTTCAACTGAATGATTTAGCTCTGCAGAATTCTCAGGAAAAATAGATTTCCTTCTACCTGTATTTTGATATCTAAAAATGAAATTAATAGTAATATTGTTTAATACGTAAAAATGTAAATTAATTTTAGATTATGGTGCTTAGTAAATAAATTTATAAATTTAAATTTTAAGAAAAATAATAACTTACATTAAAATCAACTAGCCTTTGTTATTATTTTATTTGAATGAAAAAATATTAGTTTCCTAACAATTCTTAGGAAACTCTAGTGTATTTTTTCTTGTTAGTGGAAATATTTCATAATTTATGATAATTTTATTAAAATTGGAAATTTTGAATAATTTTTCTTTAAATTTTATGAAAAAAATATTTTTCAGATAATTTAAATGTAAAAGGAATTTTCTCCATATAGAATACAGTAATACCCCGAACTTACGCGATAGGTGGGACTGAGTGATAACTGTGTAAGTCGAATTCGTGCAAGTCGGAGTATAATTTCGCATATAAATACATCAAATAATTTTTAATTGGGGCCAGAGACTAAAGAAAACAATAATTTAGAAAAAAATGTTTAATAAAATCTTAGATAATACATATGTATAACAAATTATATTATTATACAATTTTTCACATTTACTTGATTATCACACCATAATTTTAACATTGTTTCCATCTCAGAGATAATACCGTGATGTTTATGAATGATGCTTGAATTTAAAGATTGAGCATTTTTTACAGCTTTGAGAATTTTTTCTTTACCTTTTATAATTGTTCTGACTGTCGATTCCGGTAGATCAAACTTCTTTGCCAATTCACAAATTTTCATTTTTGTATCGAAGTCTTTAATAATG